GTTCAATTACACACTCTCTGACTACAGTTCAATTACTCATTACCTTCCCGTCTCTTCGTGGCCGGTCTTATATATACCAGACTACCCCCAACCTAGTAGTCTCCCGACAATTCACGAAGGAACAGGATATTTCTACAAGGAGATGGCGTGATACTAGTCACGTGACCTCGCTGACGCAACAATAAGTTAAAACCTTTAGTTACATACAATATTAAATCTACAATGTCAAATACATAAAAAATATTTGTATAACATTAATATGTGAAACATAAAAAGTAACTTTTCACAACAATATCCATAACTATAGGACAAAATCCAAACTATACAATAAGTAATTTTATATTAAAACAAAACAAGAAAAAAGAAAACCACTTCAAAAAGTATAAAACGAACACTTTAAGTGCCCGTAACAGTCATACAATAATAGTAATTGGTAAAAATGCATAAAAACTATTTAAAGTGCCCGAAAATATATATAAACTAAAACTAACACTTTTAAGATAAACTCAAAATAGAAACTTATTTACAAATCCTATTAAAGAATAAACAAGTAACTAATTTTACCCCCAGTGGCTCAATGTGGACATATAATGTTAAGAATCATGTTTCAGCACCCCTGATTAGCAGAGCACAAATAGCCAACTGTCTAGCTTTGTGCTAACAACACACAAACCCTTAAATAAAACAAAAAAACAGAAGAAAAATAATCTAACAAACATAAAGAAAGAAACCGTAATCTAAAGATGCACTTGGGTTACAAAATGTATTCTATCCTCAAATACAGATACATATAAGGTATATAGACAAGTATACTCGTCTCATGGAAGTCCCAAGGCTTGACTCCCCTTACCTCAACCCTGACAGAAAATTCTCTAAAGCAGAACCTTGTCGAAACGTTGTACATTTGCTGTTATGTTAAACTTATATTAAAGTTTTTCTTCATTACCCATTCAAGCCGTCTCCAAGCATTATTAGTCTCAAAGTTGGTTCCTCGTCATCGAATTCGAATTCTCTAAAGCAATTATCGATCTGCTACTGGTTGGGTTGGTGGCATGGACATCTCTGCTATAGCTGGTAGACTTATTCTTCCAACTAAGAAGGTGACTCAGATAAATGGTGGAGAATTTCCCTGGCGGTTATATAATACCCAGTTCTCTGTAAACTGTGTGGCAATCTCCTAACAATGCCACTTTAGCTAGTGTATCTGTTGTAAAGTCAACTGAATGGTAATGGTGTATGTGTGTGTGTGTGTGTGTGTGTGTGTATGCTATTGAGGTTGTTCTCTGAGCCTCTTAAGAGCCAGTTAATTAACCACCATCGAGGTGGGGGCCTTCTTTTCACGTCAGTTCACATTGCTGGATTAACTGACACTTGGCCAACTGTTGCTGTAGATGCTCGCTCATTCACTGGAGATATCCTAGCTGCCAACAATGGTGATGATATTGCATAGGCAGTGGAGCTCTTACTGTCTGCAAGATCATTATGGTTGGAGGGCCAGTAAGTTCCCACTGCTGCGGGCATGCTCCTGAGGACCTAAGCACCAGAAATGTTTGCTTCAGTTTTGAAATTAGTGATCCCATTGGAGGGAGGTACACAATTGTTAACATTGGTGCTTCATTTTTAAGCATCTTCTGATAGGACACCTCAGGAATGACTCTCAATGCTTCCATGACTTCACAATTTCTGTACACAGGAGTCTACAGATGTATTTATGGTGTCAACTATACTTAAATCAAAAGAAGACTTGGTTATGTCAGTGGGGTGGAAGAGTGAAGGTTTCTCCATGGTATTAGGTGATTTCAACAAAAGTGTGGTCTGTGGTAGAGGCTTTGTGGCTGATGGGGGCTGCCCGGCCCCTGGAGATTTCACAAACCATCCAACAACTTACACAGTGAGATCCTTTACATCAGATACATTGGCCAGAAATGCATCTTCATCCATGGGCTCAGCAACATCAAAAATCAACTAAACTTCAGGATTCTTTGGTTCAGTTACAAAGTCCAAATCTTCGCCAAACAGAAAATCCTGAACATACTGGCTCTAAGCATACTCTCCTTCCATTTAGCAACTAGAAAACGTGAAATTTCAGCACCCATAAAGAGAATGAAAACTCTGGCTAGTTGAAGAACAAGATAGCCAGAATGGTTAAGAATTTGGATAGTAAAGATCAGGATTAAAAATATATGATCCAATGAAGTTTGATTGATCAGAAGTTCAGCGAGATGTGTAGATTGTAAATATTATGAATGATTAGTTACGTCTATGCTCTGCTCTAAAACTACTTTTAGAAACAGAGCGTTAAAATAATTACATTGGTTACGTAAGATTTCTACAGGCTTACATGTGTTCATGCATATATTGCCTAAAGGCCATATATCCTTTACACCTTTGGACATCTTGGTCCCCAAAACTTTATTGAGTTTTCACTAGACCAACGCACAGTTATGCTGCCTACTGTCATTATCCATCTGATAACAACTAACACAGCTTACCTTCTGACCCATTCTTGTTCTTTTCACTACTATCTGTTCATTACATAAACAGAGCCTGTGTCCAGCAGGAAAGAAATGGGGGTTGAGATTGCAAACTATTGATCCTACGCACAATAGGTGATTCAGGTTAGCCACTGTACAAAGGCCAACCTTTATACACATATAGTATACTGAAGAGAATCTAGCGATGATTGTGTAGTATTCTTTGTAGAGCTCCTACCACTCAGCTAAATCAGCTGAGTTGTTCTTTCAAAATGTCTTACAACATTTTGATCCAGAAAATCATTTAATAACTCAGAAAATAAGGATTGCAAAACTCTTTTAGCTGAGGTTTTGAGCACATAGATATTTATGTTTTCTGTTGATGTTCCAAGTATTATATCTACTAGCACCAGACATCTTAAAGCTATCAACCAGCTACCATCCAATTTCATACAGTTATCTCTTATAGTGAAACTATGATTGATAGCTCCAAAAGTAAGAGTTATATAGTTTTTTTCGATCCAGATGATCTTATCTAAATCCTTTTGTAAAGCAGCAACATCCTACTCATAGTCAACAACGACCTAAACCTTTAATATCATTAAAAAATTTAAGCAGTTTATTGACCATGCCTGTTGCTTTTTATGGTAGGTATATCATCACTTCCAGAAATCCTATAATAAGGTACTTTACAAGTGAATAATTAGTTAGTACGAATTCCATGGCAATGATTATAAAGTTAAGAAATAAATAAAAAATTAGCTTGGTGCTGTAAAAAAAACAAGGTGATAAATTGTTGTTTTATCAGTTGGTAGAATGTGTTTATATTGTATTAAAAGTTAATCCATCTGTCATTTATTTACTAAATTATTCTCCCAACCCACCAAATAACTTAAGTACTTTTGTGGAGCAATAGCATCCTCCACACCACCAGCAACACTATAAAACTGAGCACTGAGATATCCCTCTAGTGATAATAAACCAGTTTGATTGAAATCCATTTATAACAGTCTTCTGCTTTTTTTTACATCCAGCCATTTTTCGATCCAACGAGCCAATTTATCTTCTGATTCCGATAGTATGGTTCTTTTTTTGACAACTATGGTCAACGTTAGAAACAAACAGTTAAAACAATTACATATGTGTTTGCCACTGAGGTTATTTAATTGGAAGGTTGGCCATTCTCTTTTTTGTCCACAAATCAGTTCAAGTACTGACATGTAATGTTTTGTCTTGTTTCTCTGTATAACTGTATTAATTTCGATAGTTATGTACATAGGTTTATAATAATATTAATATCTGAAAAATGTAAACTACATGATGCTTCTTATGTCAGATTACATACCCAAAAAGAACTGTATTGTTGCGTCAGCGCAGGTCACGTGACGCTTGTATCACGCCACTTCCTTCTCGAACCTTCATGAAATATCGGGTGACTACTAGATTGGGGTAGTCTTGTATATAAAAGACCGGCCAAGAAGCAACGCGAGGTAATGAGTAATTGAATGTATGCGGACAGAATATTGTTGAACACGTGAGACGTTCGTTGAGAATTATAGCGTTTGTTATAGCGCGACTGTTGAAACTAAGTGTATCGCAAAGTTGTATTCAGAAAGAATAAACCAGTTTTATTTAAGAAAGGACTTGTATCGGTAAAGTTTCTTCGGAAAGAATTTTTATGGAAAATTAACGAACGAACGGAGACGTAACAGTATTATTATTATTATGTGGATAAGGATGAATTCAATTAACCAAATGTTCTTCTGTTACTCTGCCTTTTTCTCTGTCTTTTCATGTTAATCAAGCTACCGTTAGGTTTTTTTTTTTGCTTCAGTCAAACGTAACAAGAAGAACTCACAGTCTGCATGCGACAAATAAAGTGTAATTACTACCATGAAAAACAACACAATACTAAAACAGTAAGTAAATCTGTGGGTTAATTAATGTACTAAATCAGCTAGAAACTTCGAGACGAATAAGGAACAGTGAATTGTAACTAACTTCAGGAAACAAATAAGTAACCGAAAATATAAACAACTTCACCTGGGTTCCAGTGCAGAAGAATATCTGAATTTTGTTTTTCATTTACTAATAAGAGTATACAATGTTATGTTTTGAGGAATTTCAGTCATTAGCTAACTTCCTTGGAGTAGAGAAGCCAAATGTATTTGTTGACGAACAATGGAAGGTAATTAAACATTTTCGTTTACTACTAACAGTAACACTAAAACAAGATTAATACCATTAGTATTAAAATTAAATATTATTATTAACCTAGACTATATTATATATATATATATATACTATTACTATAGACAGTAGTATTACTACTACTACTATTGGTATTACTATAGAGTATAGTATAATGTATAGTGCTAATATTAATAGGATAGTAACACATTTTTGTTGTTATTAAATTACCATTAATTAGTAATATAATATATTATACGTAATTTTATTTATTGTATGTATAACGTTACAATTTACTTGACTCTTTGTTTCCATTGAACAACTGCGTTGACTCTTGCAAAGTTACAGAGCTTTCTTGGGTTTGAGAATGAGATTGAGTTTGTTGAGGATAACTGTGCAACGTAGAAATAGCTTTGGGGAAGATTGCAAAAAATATAGATTAGGATAAGAAAACGTAGAAATATACTGTGAAAGAATAAAGACAGGAAATTAATAGAATTATGGTAAAGAATGCTTTTGCCTGTTTTGTAGAGGGTGGGATTGAGAGTGCAGGGTTTACAACTACAAGATTGAACATAAAGATGAGAAAATTAAGGCTTTAGTTTAGAGACATGTTCAGTTAGCATATAGGTATCAATCTCTTATAGTAATAGAATTAAGCTTTTGTAAAATGTATGCTTACAATGAGAAAGAGGGAGATGTGATTTTATGTAGTAAGAAAATCTCTCATTAAGTACAATATCTGTAGTGTAAATGTTAAAAGACTAGGAACATAATTTGCTTACTAGCAAACTTTACATAATTAAATTAAAAAAAAAAACACTTACCTCTGAGTCTCCATATTAGTAACAAGGATTTGGTTTGACTGGATGCCATTGATAAAAATTTGTTGCTTTTTCCATTGAACCAATTACTATATTTCCATTTCCTAGTCTTATTTTTCAAAACCTACTTATGTGTTTTTTTGGCTAATATAATATTTGACAATATAAGTTCACTAATTCCACACCCACTAAGTTTTCTTTGTCCAGATAGCAAGTAAAATGCTTTGGTGGATTTTTAAAACTGACCCCCACCCACCCACCCACATACACACACAGGAGTGACAAGATATATTCTGCATATTAATAGGAGATTCAATTAGGAAATATGGTAAACGTAATTTCATGTTCTCTGAATCTGACTGATTGGGCACAATGTAAAAAATACAGTGAAACAATCTTTATTCCAGGACATAATTAAGCAATGTGTGTATTTATTAGATAGAAGAGAGTACCTTTACTGGAGAGAGAGCGCTCTCTATCAGACTTGAAGTAACTGAATAAGTTTAAAATCTGTTCCAGACTGAGAAAACATACCATCATGTGCATGAAACTGTAATGGGATGCTGTGTAGGTTAGTTGTTTGAAGTTCGACTTAAATCCAGTTATCAACAGATTTATTTAAAATCCAGGTTTACAACCAATAAGTTATCAATAACACATTAAGTGAATATGCTCAGACATAATTTATTTTATAAACTTTTCTTAATACTAAACAATTTACATCTATTTCTTATCTACATTGTTCGACTGAGAGAGACATAGCAATTGTTATTTACATGGAGTTTGAGTTGGTTAAGTTTTCAATACTTGTTAGAGTTGACATCATCAATGGTATTGATTCAGGACAGACTGGAAGCAGGACTACTGGCTTTTTAGGTGTCACTGGAGAACTCTCTTTTAACACCAAAACATGGGTTTTTATACAAATTTCTTTGGTATTCTTACTATTCTCTAAGTATTGTACATATCCAACTCACAAGTGGATCTGTCACTTCATTGGATGAATTTTGTTGAATCATCATAATTCTTGGAACTAAAACCAAAACTAATACAATAATTGGTTATGATTGAAGACGGTAAGTTAGCAGCCTGTTTGCATATATTTCTCCTTGTGTTCTTCAGATAAAAGTTCTGCCAAAAGTCTCTGATTTCCACTCTAAATCCTTTTATAGAATTTGTTTTCGTAAACTTTCTCATAGCTTTCTCTTTGTTACAATTGCATCTGTTTTATGTTGATAATGTAAACAGTTGGTCCACAATACTGCCTGGAATGCATCATAGTTTATGCTTGCCATTTACATTTCCTATCTTGGTCAAGCATCCTTGTGTAACTTCTCTTATACATTTGTTAAAGTACATAGCTTTTCTTCATATTGTTGTATGTCATACATGGAATTAAAAAAAATTATATTTCTCATTTCTTGAAGCATTTGAAAATAGCATAAAATGCCACAAATGCTTCAAAACACAATGCTACATTATTTGAGGGTGCATGTGTTACCCACATGACTGTTGATTATTCCAATAAAAACATAAGGGAGGATGTAACCTTAAGACACCACCCAACTTAGAAGTGGATAATATAGCTGTCTACTTTTCACACACAATACAATCAACTTTATAGAAGCCTTTCCAACAGGAAGAGAAAAGTGATACCTTAGGTGAATGACACAGATAAATAGGTAGCTAGAAAAAAAAGTAATTTAAAATTGTTTTGACTAATGTGCCATATGAAACTACGTCCACCCAAAGAAGTAAAATGTTTTTTTTATAAAAATTGCATATGGAAACAGGTGGATATAAATCACATGGTATGGCTGCATACCACAAATTCCTGTTGGTTTTTATTAATGAAGCCATATTTTGTCAAATAATTTTGCAAAACGTTTTTTTATCAGACTAGAATTTTTCTTGTTTTAGAAGTTAGACTAATTAGTCTATAATTTCCAGGGCAACTCTTATCACTCCCTGTGAAAATAGGAGTATTTTCAACAAATTTTCAATCCTCAGGCCCCTGTTCACTGTCTCTTGACCTTCCAAATAGGAAAGAGAAGCTTGCATATCTGAACTTTAAATCTGATGAAGAGGAACCCACTTTTTAGAAAATAAAAGTTTGGAGACAGCTTGAATGGGTAATGAAGAAAATTTTATTATAAATGTACAATGTTTCAACAAGATTATGTCATCATGAGGTACAAGTAGTTTACAGGGACACATGAATACATGTACAGTACAGAACAAAGAGGTCAAATGACTGGAGATTGCTTAACAGCATAGTAAAGGTACTAAGATATTTCTGATTGAATGCTTAGGGTCAAGAATAATGCTATAATCCCAGCTTTCTTATAATTATATAAGTGTTCTGATCTATCTATCAATTTAAAATTCTTAAATTTCTGACACTCAACTCTGATCTTTATCATTTATGTCTGTAGTTAGTCAATTAGTTTGATTTTCCCTGTTATCATATTCCTATTTTTAGAAGTGTTTAATAGAGATGAGGACCCATTCAAATGACTCGATACAGGAATGAAGAAAAGGATCCAAGTATAGTGATGGACAAGTCACTCAAGATGTTGAAGTAGTGCTCTGTTGCTAGTACTAAAGCTAAAAGAAATAGGGTTATAACATAACATATGGATAACAAGGACCATTTGATCTTTCAGGGCTGTTCTTTAATGCTCATCCGGAGTTGAGACACCCAAATGCAGTTCACCCCTCTGATTGGGTTCCCTCCTACTACCCTCGCGTGGATGTTGGTACCCAGCGGGTTAGGTTTTGGAGATCGAGTGACCAATCACATAAGTCCTCACACAGGTTTCAGTTTGTCCATCTTCCCTTCTTGACTTGTCTTCTGTGTTGTGGGTTGCATAATGTCTATATGGCCTGGTTCTGCTTCTCTCCTGGGTTTTCCTCATTTGGTGATGAGGTTGTTACAGACCTTGGTCATTTTGGGCTGGTTTCATGGTTGTGGGGGTTGAGTGCATGTGATGGACTTCCCTTGGATTCCAGATGACACATTCCCAGATCCCTAGCATAAGGCTACTCTTTGAGTTCCTGGAGTAGAATATTAGGTTCACTCTTGACTCTGGGATTTGAGATGAAAATGGTATGACCCTCATCCTACCTTCATGAGGTTTCGGTACTCAACGAGTGAGGTTTTGGATGTAGTTAACTTACCAAGTACAGTCCTACTTGCCCTAGCTACTCTACACAATGGGACACATCCTCAATTTAGTGATTCTGATTTCTGTTTAAGATCACATTGCTAAACTATCCTCTCCCACATGTATGTTCCACCATGTATTGTCCTCCTGATAATGTTGATGTTCATGGCGAGCAGATATCTAGTTCAGAAGTGGTTACAGTACCCCTCCTCAGATCATCTAATCTGTTCTTCTCATTTCAGGGGTGTCTTCTAGATGCTGAATAACGTTTCCTCCAGAAACATATGCCATGTTTCTCTTGCACCGGTCCCTCCTCCATTTCAATGTGGAATTCAAGCTAATCTTATGAGCGGAGGGAGAGTACCTTATTGGAAGTTATAATTTTCCTAAATGAAAATGTATTTCCGATAGGTGCTTCCATCTTCACACGCTTCCCACCCATCCTCCCCACATTTTTCCAGTGCTTGCGTCTTCTGCCAAACTTCGAAGTGATAGTTTGGGAGTGCTGTGTAGAGAGAGTCACGTGATAGTAGTGTTCTCCTATTCGTGACACATAAATATACTGAGCTGTGGTATAACTGTTCTATGTTATATTAAACATTTGATCCAAATTATGATAACTCAAGATAATTTTTTTTCTTTTTAAGTCATAATCCTTTTGAGATGGGTCACGGGAGAAAGGCCATGTCATCTCATTTGTTGACTCACAAATTAGATTATAATTCAAATTTTAGAAGCAAACATTACTCAATTTGTTAATTTAAAACTAAATATTAAAAAACACAGATAAATATAGATTTTTGTGTGTCACATGGTATGTTGAATGCAGCACTAGTTCAGATTAGATGTTTATGAAGTCAAAATACTAAGTCTATAGTTTCATATGAATTAGAAACTCAAATTATATACACTGACAAGCTAGAATATAAAATAAGGTCTTATCTTTTCTATTTGCTAAGATATTGCTCACATAATAAATC